CCCTGTATTTGCCAGGCAGGCACTTAGTCTACTGAGCCATCTCCCTGGCCCTAGGAATCCTTTTTAAGCCTGCATAGAACAGAGTTTGAGTCAGCAGTTCCTGGGATAAAATAGCATATCATTCTTTTAAACTTCAAAAAGTTCAGTGTAACACAGAGAAACAAGTGAGACCAAAGCGATTTCAAAAGGCTGGCTGTGGTGTTTATCAGTAGAATGGTATTGAGCAGATCAAGTTGTTCGATTTTCCACAAGCCTAAATTTAGCCATTTATAAAATAGAAGTGCTATAAAAAGTGATATTTTCACCATACTGTTGTGAAAATTAAATGAGAAAATTTATTGATCATGGTTGGGCCACTATGTGGTCAAAACAAAGTATAATATCTAGCTAGAGATATAGCTCAGCAGCACAGTACCTGCCTGGCAAGTACGAGGTCATGGTTTGATTCTCAGTCACACACACACACACACACACACACACTCACAGATACATACATACTATCTAAAAACTAGGACTTTACTGGGAAGATAGCTCAGTGGCATAAGCACCTACCTGGCAAGTACAAGATCATGAGTTTGATTCCTAGTACCACAAAAAATAAAATAAAATACAGAACTTTATTAGGTATTGCCACTGTCATGCCACAGTAATTTTGTATCTTCTGGAGACTGCTTTTGAGATTTTAGTAGATAGCAAAAATATCCTTATTGATTTCCTATTAAAGTTTCCATTTATTCTAATGAAAAAATATTCTTTGTCATTGTCTAATACCTCTACCTTCCTTTTGATTTAATATTACTTTCCCACATTAACCTTATGTACGGGCTTTTTAATAAAATGTATGTTTTTAGTTGCAGGTGTTTCTAGGATATTTTCTAGAGCTAAAGGAAAGTTGATTTTTATGAAAAAAAAAAGATTTGGATTTATATTTGAAAAGAGGTGTGAATATTTTGCTTAGCACTGGCCTTTAGAAAACGATGTTTTATTGCTGAAGTAATTTCTTTTGAAACCAGAGTAAATATTATCAATGTCACTAACAAGAGACTACTGCACTCCTTCGACCTCCCAAAGACAGTTTGCCTGGAATTCTCACCCAAAAACACTATCCTGGCAACGTGGCAGCCTTACACTAGTAAGTATTTTCCCATTGTAAAAATATTCTGACAGGACCAAGTAAATTTTAGTGAAAAAAACCAAGAGTTCATTACCTTTTCATCTTTATAATAGTAAATGTTGTGACTTTATAATTGACAGTTAATGTTATATTTTCCAAATACAGTGTACTAAAATTAATTTTAAGATATAGTACTCTTATCCAGAGGAAATACATTCTTAGGGGGTTTTTTGTTTTTGTTTTGTTTTGTTTTGTTTTGTTTGGGCAGGCTCAGAATGTCTTCAGGGCAGGTTTGGCTGGATTGAGTTGTGAGGATCGAACCACAGCAACCTGAGCCTGACTGCTTTGTTGAAGCAGCCACTTAAAGAACTGAGCTAGGGGCAGACCCCCAATACATTCTTAGTAAATGCTTGAAACTACCAAATCCTTTAATTTAATGCCTCTTCCATCCTAAGGTCATGCTTAGTGGCTGTAATTTTTACTGTTTGAGGTGTGACAGCAAAATTAGCATGAATTTCCTTTACTTCCGTTTTAATGGATAGATTTATTACTATAGGTCTTAACAGTCTTAGCATGTTCTTTTTTCCCTTTAAGTACTTGAGAGTTTCAGTTTTCACTTATAGGAACCATTATATAGCTTCTCTTTGGCATATCCAAATTACTGTCATTGCTACCTTTGTGATTTAATGCCCTTGGACACAAGCACCACATAACTGAGATGGCTGCTAAGCGACTGATGGGCAGGAAGCAGATGGACATATTGCAGACCAAAGGGTGATTCATATTCTGGGAGGGACGAGAGCTTTTGGGGTGGCACAGAATTGAGCATGCTGCGCAGGATGGTGCACAATGTAAAACTTAGGAATTTTCTATTTAATATTTTTAGGCTATGTTTGACTGCCAGAAAACTAAATCCTCAGGAAGTAAAAACATAGATGAAGGAATATAACGTATATAGTAAGTTAGTGAAAAGATCTATTTTGAGGTAGAAGAAAAGAAATGGCTTAGGAGAAAATTTAGAAAGTGACTAGAATAAGGAAGCTCTCTAACTTTCAAAGTCAACATTGTCACGATTGTCAGGGAGATGAGGTATATAGTAGAAATAACATCTAAGGGATGTGTGTGGTATTACAAAGAGTAGAAAATTGCCATTTTCCAACATGTTTAAAGGTTGCTCATGGTAACACATTAATTAATATCTTATATAGATGTGTTCTCTACATGAGTAATAAAATACTGGAAATGGGTATGAGGTTTATTTTAGCAAATATTTTCTAATATCAGTATTGACAAAACAAAAGCAAAGAAAATGTTGACATAGTTGTATACCTCCTGGATTTTATTGTTTCAAGAGACAGGGACTCTAATGAATCTTTCTTTTCCAAGTAAATAAGAGGGAAACTGAGAATGATAAATGGTTTTATAGAACTTTTATATGACTTATGCCATAGATTCATGCTGTCGTGATTTAATCCACTTGATAGCAATCCATGTCAAGCTTAATAAAAAAATCTTTTAAGTATTTGTAAAACCTGTAGTAATTTTTAAAAAACCTGTAGTAATTAATTTGTTTGAGAAATGCTAGGCTTTTGCTCAACATTATCATATATGTAGTCCTGGCTTTAGGGATAAATGATTAAGTCCATAATTAAGGCTGGAGAGGAAAGTTGACTTAAAACAAGTTCTTTATTTGATTTTCATAATCCTTTTCAAAATTTTTCTAAGCATGCAATCTTTTTTAAAAAAACATGTTAGAAGACACTGAAAAAAAATATGTTTCATTGCAGCTTCTAAAGATGGCACGGCTGGGGCACCCAACCTACAGCTTTATGATGGGAAAACTGGGACATGTTTGAAATCTTTTGTACAGAAAAAAGCACAAAATTGGTAAGTAAAAGCTTTATAGTACTAATTATTTTCAAAATATTTTTAATATTATCTTGGCATAATTCTTGTTTCTTTGGTATTGATTTTGAAAATACCAAAATCTAGAGCCTTTAGGATTTTATACATAGAAATGTAAAGAGTAAAAATGTGGTCTGCCTTTGTTTAGTCTCTTTTTTTCCCCTTCTGCTGCTGGAGGTGGAATCCAGGATGGCTATACCCCTGAGCTATCTCCCCAGCCAGTTTTTATTTTGAGAAAGGGTCTCAGGCAATTCTCCAAGTAGGACTTGAATTTGCAGTCCTCTTGCCTGAGCCTCCCAAAGTGCTGGAACTACAGCCATATGCCATCATGCCAGTCGCTTCTTTGAAAGGAAAAGAACAATAATTTTCATTATAAGTATTCTTCCTTAAATGGTAAACAATATCACAAGCTTTAACATTGTGGCATGATATTACAGTTTGACTAACTTTTTTTTTTTCTTTCTTTTTGACACAGGTGTCCATCTTGGTCAGAAGATGAAATCATTTGTGCCCGAAATGTTAACAATGAAGTTCACTTCTTTGAAAACAATGATTTTAGTATGGAAGGATTTGATGAATAATTTTATTATATACATTAGGCATATACAGTTTTCATTTCCTTATACAGCCTTTTAGAGTTCTCCAAATTTCTGTTAGTTTACTAATCAATAATTGCTGTTTTCATTTGCATAATTCTTTGTACATCTGAGTGCCAAATTCATTAACACGAAGATTTTAATTTTTTCAAAACCTTTGTTATTTGGTAATTATGGGATATTCTTTGTTGTTGTTTGGAAGTTTTTTTCTTTCTAATTTGGTTTGTTGGATTTTTGAGACAAGGTCTCACTATGTAGTTCAAGGAGGGCTTAAACTCACTGTGTAGCCCAGGATGGCCTTGACCTTGTGATTTTCCTGCCTCAGCCTCCCAAGTGCCAGGATTGCAGGCATGTGCCGCCACACCCAGCTTTCTGGGAGGATTTTGAGACAGGGTCTCTCCATGTAGTTCAAGCTGGTGTTGAACTCACTGTATAACTTGGCCTATCCTCCAGTTTGCAACAACTGCCCTGCCTCAGCCTCCTAGCTATTGGGATTATAGATGTGCCCCCCCACCAGTGATAATTATTGTTAAATGAAAATAAGAGAATACTCCTGACTTTATTTGCTGTTGCAGTTCTGTGACAGACTTCTCCAGTATTTTATTGTATATAATTTCATACACAAAAACAGACATCTAGTCCCAATTAGCACCAAACAGTAAGCAAGCTTAATGATCTTTTGTTGTTGTTGTTCGAGACAAAGTCCTGCTATGCTGTTCAGGCTGGCCAGTCCACTATCACTGTATATTTATTCTGCTGTCACCTCTCACTAGCTATAGCAAATTCCATACACCATATAATTGTACCTATAAACATTTCAGTACTTATCTCTGAGGATTAATCTCCTTAATTTAAAAATACCTGTGATACCATCACAAGTCATTAACTATCTCACTTCAAATTTCTAATAATGGCAAATAGTACAATTTATTTAAAGCTCAGAATCCAAACAAGTTGCTGTGCTTCACAATTGTTTCTGCTAATACACAAGTTCATACCCCATCGTTTTTTTCCCTTTTGTAATTTATTACTTAAAAAACAAGGCCTGTGCCGCCTCACCAACTCAGTGGCTGATGCAGCATGTGGTGCAAGGGATCAACCCTGGTCCCTGTGCTTGGCTTAGCAGGCAGTTAGTGTGCTGAGCTAGTCTGGCCCTTGCAAATTTTTTATTTACTATTATCTGTATTACCTTTTGTTGATGCCAGGAGTCGTCCTCTGGACTTGGGAATATCAACATTTGCACTCATATTTATTTGCTTTGTTCTACATTAATTCTTCCTCATATAGTTCTTAGGATACCACCAATAGTAACAGCAGTAGTGCAATTGCTCAAAAAATTTAAAAGGAAAAAATTGCATTTATTCTTGTCTCTAGAGTATCCCATTAGTGACTATTCACTCTGGAATGTATTACAGTAGAATAGGAAGTGGTAACTGTTCACATGGACCAGAGATAGCTTTGCAGGCTGACTCTGAGTAATATCTAATTGCTGTAGTTTACACTACATTTTTGTATTTTTGAGATTTCTCCCTCATTGTTTTGGATTGGCTTGTTTTATTATGTCTTTGTTAGCTTTCCAGAGGAATGGAAGGCACCAGTTTCACAATTTAAGGTGCTACTTTTGAGTAACTATTGACCTCCATCCAACAATGAACAAAGAAAGAGTAGTATTAATACTTCTTTATTCCCATTAACTTGAGTGGCAGTCTTGTTAGTCATGTGAATGCTGACCGTCTGTAGCAGAGTAAGCATCAATAAATATCAGCCATTACTGCTATTGCTTGGGCCGTTTTCATGTTTCTTCTGTGTTTCACGCAAACTGTAGAATTTCAACATTTATGTTCTACAGTAATAGCCCGTGGTCACAATTTACAGCAGTTGGGCTTTAACACTATTTTAGAGGCTGAGGAGAACTGACATTCACTGAAGATGTACCATGTGCCTTGCATTGTATTCTTTTTTTTTTTTTAATTATTTATTACATTTATTTATTGTATGTGTGTGTGGCCAGCTCAGCCCACCAGGGGGCGGGGCTGGCTGGCATGTGGTGCTGGGGGATTGAACCGCGGTCCCTGTTGCATTATATTCTTTTTATTTATTTATTTATTTATTTGTGTGTGTGTGTGTGTGTGTGTGGCCAGCTCAGCCCACCGGGGGCGGGGCGGGCTGGCATGTGGTGCTGGGGGATTGAACCACGGTCCCTGTGCTTTGCTAAGCTTGTTCTAAGTGGGTGCTTTAGACCACTGAGCCATCTCACCAGCCCTATGCATTATATTCTTGAAGTCAGTCACTGGGAACCAGGTGGTGCAATCCCATTACTTTCACAAGTTTACAAGCTAGTGAGGGAGTAGGAACTAAGGCCTGGGTTTGTCTTGTTTCCAATCCATACTTTTGCTACTGTATTGCTCTGCCTCACCCACATCAAACTATAGAAACCTTTTATAATGTGCTCTGAGCTTCCTGTGTTCTTGTTAGCTCCTGTTACTAATCTAACATCATTTTCTTTTTTTTTTTTTAGACACAATTGCAAATAAATTGCATTTGCAAAAAATTAATGATTTTGTCTTATCACCTGGATCCCAACCATACAAGGTAATTGTTTTTGTTAGTTTATATGAACTATTACATGCTTAACCTTTTTTTAGTTTGTTGTGTTGTGGTAGAGTTGCTTTATTTTGTTTTTGTGGTAAGTGTAAAAACGCATCCATCCTAGTTTATATACTTTAAAAAGTTAAACGATAATTTATGTCCATTTATTCTAGGTGGCTGTATATGTCCCAGGAAGCAAAGGTGCACCTTCATTCGTTAGATTATACCAGTACCCCAACTTTGCTGGGCCACATGCAGCTTTAGCCAATAAGAGTTTCTTTAAAGCTGATAAGGTTACAATGCTGTGGAATAAAAAGGGTATGGCAAATATATTATTTCTCATTTTGTTGAGCAAGTGTTAATTTAGACTTACATTGATAGATATATTAAAAAAAGGATACTATTGTTTATCGTTTATGTTTTAAGTCTAATTAAAGTTTTTACTATTATAGCTACTGCTGTGTTGGTAATAGCTAGTACAGAAGTTGACAAGACAGGAGCTTCCTACTATGGAGAACAAACACTTCACTACATTGCAACAAATGGAGAAAGTGCCGTGGTGCAATTACGTGAGTACTCTTGTAGTCTTCTTTTGTTAAAATGATAGTAAAAGAAGATATGCCCTAAAAATGGTATAATCTAAGTTCTTCATCAAGTGATAGAATTCAAATAATTTAATAAGCCTTAAGGTACAATTCCTCTTAGGAAGCTTAAAATAAGGGCCAGTGAGGTAGCTCAGTGGAGTCAGAGCCTGCTAACTCAAGTGCAGGGACTGTGGTTCGATCCTGGCACCCAAGTTGCACCGGCCCTTCCCCTGGGCGTGCTGAGCTGGTCACTTGAGTCGGGCGTGGTGGTGCATGCCTGTAATCCCTGTGCTGGGGAGGCTAAAAACAGGAGGATCACTACGAGTTTGAGCTGTGTAGTGAGACCCTGTAGCAAATACATAAAAAAACAAAAACTTAAAATCATTCTCAAACATACCTATTTTGACAGAATCCAATTAGTTAATTGGAATTATGCCAGTACTTTATGGTAGTATAACTGAGAAAATACACTCAGGAAAAGGGTGAGTTTCAGAATTATGAATAATACCCAAGAATGTTGCCACTTCATCTTTTTTCATTTGTCTCTTGAGAGGAGGTCTACTATGTTCCCCTGCTGGCCTCTAACTCGCTGTCCTGCCTCACCCTTCTGAGGAATGCGATTATGTGCGCGTGCCACTGCTCCCAGCTCATCTGTTGTTTTGATGAGCTAAATTAATTTTAAATACTAGCAGCTGCCTAATTGTTTCATTTTGAATTGGACATGTGTGGATAGGGTAATCTTCCATACCAATAAAACTGTATTCTCATTGAAGATAAAAATAAAACAAGGATGGCCAAAGTATCTGGTAAATATAACTGATTAAATTGACTAAAAGAAGTAGAACAGAATTTTAAAAGGAGAAAACTGAATAGGTGGAGTTATAAACACCCATTTCTAAAAAAGTAATGAGAGATTCCATATGCAGCAAAACTAAAAAATACATAACCTCTATGGGAAGAAAACTTAGAAACTGTTCAGAGACAAACCATGAACTTTGAATAAGGAGTTTTATAAACATACTGTTTCTGCCCAAGTTAAGCTACAAATTAAATGCCGGGTTTTTGTTTGTTTTTAATGTTTATTTTTATGTATTCAGTACAGGGTCTCCAGGGTCTCATTACGTAGATTGGACTCAGTGATTCTCCTGTTTTCAGTCTCCTAAGCACTGGGATTACAGGCGCACGCCACCACGCCCAGTCTCATTCACCATCTCAGCACGCCCAGGGGGTGGGGCTGGCATGGCAAGTGCTGGGGATCGAACCCCAGCTGCTGTGCTCTGCCTAAGCAGGTGCTTTAGTCTGCTGAGCCATTTGGCCAGCTTGCCAGTTTACTTTTTTTAAATTCAATAAGCTGGTTATACTGATTTGAAAAGTGATACAAGAATGTTCTGAAAAAAA